ATATTTTGTAGTTTAAACCATATTGAATTACAAAATAATAAAATAATAGTTATTAGATGAGTATTTTTTTAATTTAATATTTAAAAAATATTTTACAATTTAAATTATTTTTAATTATAAAACATTAACTATTTTATAAAAAAAAGGCTTTAATATTAAGAGCTTTCTCATCATCAAATAATTTTTATTTTATAGTTTAAAATAATCCAACTATAAAACAAGATACCTATATTATTTTTCATTTATTAAAAAAACAATTATTAAATGAAACACTCTCTAATATCCAGAGTTTCATTTAATTCAATATATATTGTTTTTTTTATTGTGGTGCACTTCTTTTATATAAATTCTTAAGGGTTTTTTTTGTTAAATGGTTATAGTTAAGAATAAAGAGAAAGGATATTTATATATTATTACATTAATTCAAATCTTAATACTATTTAAAATATTAGTGCATCAATCAATTAAAATACTACCCTATGCATTAAATAGGGTAAGCATTATATATATATATATATATGTCTAACCCCATCCAAATTCTTCTTTCCCATCAACTATTACATAATTAAATTTAATTAATTAATAGTAGGGATGAGCATAGTAACTGATACACTTCTATATATATAGATAATACATAATATAATTGATAATAATAATTTATATATGTGTGTAAAATGCTACCCTATGCATTAAATAGGGTAAGCATTTTATATTTACCCCACCACACTAGCCCCACCCTATTCCCATTGGCATTTATAGCCAAGAGCCTGAAATTAAATCCATGAAAACAACTAATCATTTTAGAAATTTAAATATTACTAATTAATATGTAAATTACTTGACCCTTAAAATTGTAACTTCCATTAGTTTTTTTTCTTCTTCATCTACCAAAAGATGAATGATCTTAAATATTACTAATTGATATGTTGAAAAAAAAAATGATCTTGCCTCTTCATCTACTTAAGAATAAACCAATCTTTTCAATATTAATATAAATAATGAACAATTAATATATCATTCATTTAAATTATTTTCAGTTACCAAGGCAAATAAATTTTATAATATACCATTCATGTTTGGACATTTATAATTGCCCTATTCTCATTGGCATTTATAGCCAAGATCCTGAAATTAAATCCATGAAAAACAACTAATCATTTTAGCAATTTAAATATTACTAATTAATATGTAAGTTACTTGACCCATAAAGTTCTAACTTCCATTAGTTTTTTCCTTCTTTATCTACCAAAAGATGAATGGTCTTATATTATTAATTAATATGCTGAAAAAAAAAAAAAAAGATCTTGCCTCTTCATCTACCTAAAAATAAACCAATCTTTTTAATATTAATATTAATAATGAACAATTAATATACCATTCATTTAAATTATTTTCAGTTACCAAAGTAAATAAATTTCATAATATATCATTCATGATTAGATGTTTATAACTATCATATTATTATTTTTTATTAATAAATTTATTGTTTTCTTTACATGAAGAAGGAAAAAACTAATGGAAGTTAGAACTTGAAGGATCAAATGTTTACTATTTAAAATCTCTATGTTTATGAGAAAGTTTTTTCATTGTTATTTTGTTTTAGAGATTTTCCTAAATCCAAATTTTGATTACAGGGTATAGTTGCTTGGATTACATTTTCTCAATATGAATAGATATTTGATTTTAAGCATCAATTTTTTTTCTTTCTAATTATGTTACATTTTTTCTCTAATTTTAAAATATTTTGTTATGTAGAGGTAAATCAATTGTAAAATATATGAAATATGTATTTCTTGATCAACTTTCACCCGATAAAAAAGATTGGAAGATTAAAGTGCGAATATGTAGATTGTGGGATGTCTTTAATTTAAAACATGATAGGGACCATCTCACCATTGAAATGGTTTTAGCCAATGAGAAGGTAATTTTATAAGTATTACATTTAGTCTTTTATATATTTAACGATTTTTATTAACAATAATTATTTATTTGCGAAAAAAATTTATTAACAAGATTCAATTTCATCTTGATATCATTGTCAAAGAAGTAATCGAAGAAGTCGCAAAGATTCTGATATTTGTATTTGAACTCGTTGATTATGAGAAGCTTCTCAAGAAAGCGAAAAAATGTGTTTGTGGTATTTTTTTAATTTTAATATAATTTTATTAAATGAATATGTGATTTATTTTTATTTAAAATGCATTTATTAAAAATTTAGATGTTATTAGAGTTTTGGTCGACGTTGGAACTTCACAGGAAAGGC